AATGAGCAACGAGGAATCCGATCCCTTCTCAGATTGACAGTTTCTCCTGAACTTGGATTTGTGAGACCTTTCTAAACACGTTTCAAGTAGATGAGGTCTGGCTGATGGAACCCACCACTGACTGGCATGCGCTTCCGAAAGGTGTTATTTCTTCTGACTGCCCGTGACTTAGTCATTCTATAATCTGAGAGCTGCTAACAAGATCCCTGCTGATGGTTTGCTGTGGAAATTCCTGGAGGACGGGGCACCTCCGTTCCATTGTATCCCTGCAGTAGTAATATGGTGCCTGGTGCTCAGGGCATCTACTGGGAAACTAGGAGCCGTAGTAAGTCACGAAGGGCCAATGCTGCCTCTTGGTTGAAGGACCAGTGTCCATGCAGCGAGGGACAGTGGTCACAGAGGTGGGAGGAAGGACTTGGGGATTGGGATTCCTATTATAAATGGAGGAAATGTGGCTGGTGATGAACCCCAATTCAGGTCTCTTTGGCTGCCTCTAAATTAAAAATTATACTCTGGGGACCTGGAAAGCATTGTGGGAGTCAGAGGAGGCGAAACCTCATCAAAAGCAGTTTCATTTGCTCATATTGAATCTCACTGGAAGGTTAGGTGGGTGGGGGACAAGATGTCAGTCGATGAGCTCTGCTCTCGGTGAGCTGGGCTCTGTCACCTGGGAACCCGAGTTAGAGCAGCATCTCATTTGGGTGGGGTTGACCTTTCCTCTTCTCGGGCTGGCAGTGCTCAAACGCCCGAGGCCAGTGACAAAACATTGGTCACGACCCTTTCATTGAAACTTGCTCCCTTTAAGCTTCCACCCAGTGTCCTTGGGGTGAGTTCCTTAGGTCTCTTTTGGTTTCAAGTGTCAGAAACCCAACTCGAACAGGCTTACATTTAAGAAAAGAAGGAAGGGATCTGCTTCGGCCATGGTGCTCAGTGGCACTGGGGACGGTCTTTCATCTCAGGCTTCCTGGACAACCAGGCAGTTATACCGGATGATCACACTGTGCTGAGACCCAAGGCAGGGCCCGCGTCTGACACAGGGCACGTGGCACATGCAGAGTGAGTGAGTGAATGAGTGAATGAATGAATGAACAGATGGCTGGTGCTAAGATTGATTTAATTTCTCACTCCCATGACTGAACAAAGGCACCTCTCACACCAAGAAGTGCAGGAAGATGTGAAAAAGTAGAGAACATAGAAAATGTGCGTCTGTAAATTAGAGATTTCCGAGCAGAGAGGTCAGGACACTTAGCTTCAACCCCAAGGCCTTCTGCGAAAGGAAGTGCTTCCTGCCATCCTCTGACCGCTTCCTCAGTATCCTACCCACCCGTGCCCCCCCCAACCCCCCTTCACTCTGGGGAGCTGGAGCTGAAACAGAACCAGCAGAAGGAGTGTCTGGGAACCAGACTCTTAAGGGACCACGGTTACTAGGTCCTTATCCGTGCCTTTATTCTTTGCCAGACCCTCTCCAGGCCCTTCCTCCACCCTGCATGGTTAACCCAAGCTCAGGGAGAGTGAGCGGGGGCCTTTGCAGAAGGTCACACACACAGGGACACACACACGTCAGGGTGCAGGTGTGAGAGAAGTATTTGCTGTGTGGGAGTAAGGAAGGTGCAGAGCTGTGAGGTGAGTTAATTCAGAGCTGCCAGGTGAAGGAAACCCCAGGACCTTTGCTCCCTTACTGGAATCCCCACCCTTGGGGGATGGGAGCCCAGGGTGAGCTCTCCCTTTCTTTACAGTGTAGTCATCTTCATTTGAGGGGTGAGAAATGCCAGGATGGATACACTGCAAGGTCTGGTGCTCCTGGGCCAGGTTACAGAGCAGAAGCTGACTCAGACAGCTGTCCCTCACTGTCCTGAGGGCACTTGGGCGTGCCAGTGTTTCAGATGTCCGTGGGGAGGTGGGCTGCACAAGGAGACAGGACTGGTTTTCTTTGTGACTCTTCCACACACCAGCTGCAGCCTTAGGGGAATCCTCTGACCCCCGTGGAGCTCAGGTCCTCATCTGTGAAGGAAGGGGCATGATAGGATGACCACATTATTCTAGCATTGAGATTCTGGAGCCATGGAAGGTTCTGGGTTGGTGAGACAGAGCTGCAGCTGGGTTCCAAACCAGGCTCTGGGGTGAGGGCCTCATCTGTGAGATAACAAACGGGTACAGGCCCAGCACTCTTCACTCGTGGGTCCCCTTCTTGCTGTTGCAAGGTCCGGGAGCCACACCAGACTCGGAGGCTGCGTGCGCAAAACTGGCTCCTTGTGGGCCCCGAGGATGGAGGCTCTCGAGGCACCCAGCTGCACAGCCCTGACCAACCTCTGCCAGACATTCAAAGGAAACAGTGGGTGACAAAAGCAACGACTTTGACATTTCAGCTCATCTTTGGTGCATCTAGCTTTCCCACAAACCCACCATGACACATGTTTTTGCAGTGAAGTGTATCAAACACCAAGAAGGTGCTCATGAAAGAGCCCGCAAGACCCAGGCATTTCCAGTCTTAATAGATGGTGTTTGGGGTGTGCCTCGCACCCACCCCACTTCCTCACCACCCTGCAGGTGGGCTCCCAGCCCTGTGCACTTGGGGGTGCTGGCTCATGGGGGAGACGTGAGCATTTTTGCTTCGTAATCACTCATATTGCGGCCTTTTGGGGTTAGAATTTTGGCTCAAATGCCCACAGATTGTGTGACCTTAGGCAAGTCACTTAACTTATTTGAGTGTCAATTTCCTCATCTGTAATCATCAAATCAGCATATAATTATGGAATGTCTCTAACACCAGCCACGTCTAAATTTGGAACGGCAGCATCTTTTTTTTAAACCCTCAACTGAGGATATTTTTTCCATTGCTTTTTTAGAGAGAGTGGAAAGGGGGAGAGAGAGAGATCGAAACATCGATGTGAGAGAGACACATGGGTTGCCTCCCACACTCACCCCAACTGGGCCCAGGGATCGAGCCTGCAACTGACGTAAGTGCCCTTGACCAGAATCGAAACCGAGACCCTTCAGTCTGTGGGCCAGCTGGGGGTCAACGCCCTAACCACTGGGCCAAACTGGCCAGGGGGGAACGGTAGCATCTTAGACAAAGGCCCTTACTTTGCCACGTCTGGTGAACTGAAAGACCAGTGTGGCCACAGTGTGGCGAGAGAGGAAGAGAGCAGGATGAGATAAGCCATAGAGTTAGGACGAGCCCAGAAAACGCAGGGGCTTAGAAGCCACGATGAAGCTTCAGATCTCATTGTCAAGGCCGTGGAAGCCACAGGAATGTTATTTGCAACAGCTGACCCACACAGTCAGACTTCTACTTGCATCTGAATGCCATCAAGCTCCCACAGTGAGATAAAGCCAGCAGACCAGCAGCACCCGCAGAGCGTCAGGAGATGGGGCACATGGCGTCACCGAGTGAGGTCGCAGAAGAATCTCTCATTCCCATCAGAGTCCTGTTCCTGGCCTGGGACCCTCCTGCCTTCGTTACTTCAGTCAGCGTGTATTGGTTGAGATTGTACCCAGTGAACAAGGCAGACAGAGCAGCACATATCATTCGTTAATACCCAGTGCCATCCCTGCCCCTGGAAGCCTATCTGTTACAATCCCTACATTCCCTGGCAAGGGGGATCCCCACTGGGGTCTGCCAGTGGAGAAGCAATTGCATGAGATTGGAGGGGAGAGACGAGAAGCCATCATTCATGACAGCAGCTGAAAGGCATGTGGCCGACGGCAGAAGCAGTGAGGCGGGTTCCTAGAGCCTTCTCGTGCCTTCTAAGAATCAGCCACTCGAGTGCTGCTGGCAGCTAACACTACGGGTTGTAGCAGGAGTTTTGCATTTCAGGGTTTTGCATTTCAGTGGCCCCCCCGACCTTTGCTTGCCCAGCCTTCAATCCCTGTATTAGCTCTTTCCTTACTTTGCATACTTGGAGCGGCTTCTGCTTTCCTGGCCTGTCCTGAGTGACACGCAGGGGTAGGGGAAGACGAATAGGACAGTCAGTTAAATTTGAACTTCATATAAAAAAAGGAATTATTTTAAAGTATATTCCATGTACTATTTAGGAGCTACTTATCCTAAAAATTATTTATTATTGATCTGAAATTCAAATTGAACTGGGCAGCCTGCATTTCACCTGACAATCATAACTGAGGCTGCAAACAGCAAGGCCTCTGGGGACCAGGACAGCACTGGCCATGGCGAGGAGGGGTGCAGACTGGGAAATCTGGAGCACCCGTGAGGGCAGCTGCTACCCAGATCCTGCTGACTGCATTTGCAGAGATGGCCAATATTCTAATGTTCAAAAAACAGAAGAGAAAACATATGTTTAATATGAACTACCCTAATTTTATAAAGGGGCAGCCAGTGAAAAGAAAAAACATTGTGAGGCACAAACAAAACAGGTCTGTGGGTTTCCTAAGGCGTATGGGCCACTGGTTTGCAACCTCTGATCCAATCTCTGGAGAGTGGGTGGGGCAGTTGCTTAACCTGTAAGTTCACGTGCTTTGCAAGGTCAGGTCCTAGGGCTTTGTGCCGGGCGGGGATGACAGTGGGGGATGAGCCTTTTCTGCTAAAGGTGAGATGCAGAAGCAGTGCTTCCGGCCACAGCTCCAAGCTCCTCCCCTCAGTGCCTGACATAGCCCGTGGGCACTGTCCCCGAGCTGGGCGGTGGCTGGGGCCACAGGCCGCGCGGGGTCCTGCCTGCTCTGGCAGGCCCTTCGGCGAGCGAGCGCGAGCGGCCATCGGGCTGGGGCAGCTTTCATCAGAAGAGTGTGGGTGGAAACTTCCCGGGGTTTGCTCTGAGCTTATTGAGGCTTCTCGGCTTGAGATGCAAAGTGAGTGGGTGTCTCTCTGAGAAGCTGAGAGAACAAAAGCGAGGTGTTTCCCTTGACCATGGAAACTCTATAAAGAAGGAGCCGGCTTCCCTCCTGTCGAGCAGTCAGCAGCGGATGTCCCCTCTGTGACACCTGGACTCCACGGATTGAGCAGGAACGCCCCTTGCGGGGGGCTGCTCAAGCCTGCGGCTGCCATGCAGCAGCCCCTGAACTACCCATACCCCCAAATCTACTGGGTGGACAGCGGGGCCCCCTCCCCCTGGACTCCTCCTCCAAGGACAGTCCTCCCCTGTCCCTCCTCGGTGCCCGGAAGGCCCGGTCAGAGGAGGCCACCGCCACCGCCACCGCCGCAGGCACCACCACCCCCCTTGCCTCCACTGCCACTGCCACCGCTGAAGAAGAGGAGAGACCACAACACAGGCCTGTGTCTCCTTGTGATGTTTTTCATGATTCTGGTGGCCCTGGTGGCGTTGGGGCTCGGGATGTTCCAGCTGTTAAACCTGCAGAAGGAGCTGGCCGAGCTCAGAGAGGTAAGCTGCCTGGGGTGGCTGGGTCCCCAGTGCTGGGCCTGAGACAGCTCTGAGTGGTGGAGGGGTCAGGCTGTCCTGGTCCACACGGACCACAGTCTTCCTGGCCAAGGGCTTTTCAGTCCTTTATTCCTGTCTTAGAAATGGATCATTCTGGTCCTTCTATGCTACAGACAGAGCACTGGAGGCTCACATAAGTAAAAGGAATGTTTTCAATCGCGTAAGGGATCAGGGCCAAAATAAGACTGACGGCTACACTCTTCCTTTCTGAGTTGGCAAGTCAGCTTGGTGAGCCATGTCTTTAATGACTCAAGAAGGAAAAGGGACTCTCAGTCTTGATTAGAAGTGAATTTGTGCAAATGGCCAAACTATTTTTTTTTTTTTAAAAAAAGAGTTAAAAATATTGGAAGTATTCCAAATCACAAGACTGAGGCATGGGGAGGCACAGCTGCCCAGCCAAAGTCCCAGGTAGGAGAGTCTGTGAGGTATTTAGATTCCTTTCCAGGGCCTGGTTTATTTGACAATTCTGCCTCCTTTGCTTAAAGAACTTTATATTTATTATAGGACTTTTCTCTTTCTCTTTGCCAGTCCTCCAGCCAAAGGCACATAGAATCATCTTTGGAGAAGCAAATAGGTGAGTCCTTTTGTGCACGTGCATTGAGTTTCCAAAGATGGTCCCAGAGCTGGGACCTGTGGGTGGAATGCCATGAATTTCATCTGTTCTCGGGCACATTTTACTACAGTGGGAATCCTGGCAGATTCTGAATCTCTGGTCCTTTTGGTTCCTTGAGCTGCCCTCAACTATGAAGTCAATTTAATTGTTCAAAATCAGTGTATCTGAGTACTGCACACAATTCAGAATAATTTCCACCTGACTTTGGGAAGAGACACACACTGCTACAACCTTAGACCTTTGTCCCCTGAACAGCTGGCTCCTGGTCAGTCTCCTTCCTTGGCCTCTTGGGTCCCATACACAGGGCAGTGGCTGTAACTTCTCAGAAGAGCAGGGAGGTAGGGGCAGAGAAAGATGTTTGTAGGAAAGGTCTTCTCCTCTTTAAATTCTCTAAGAGGCTACTCAAGAGTCAAGCTTTATTTAAAACATTTTATAGGATATATTTAAGCTTTTAAAAAGTGGGAAATCGATCATCCACATTAGGTTCTTTTGCAGTCACTAGAAAGCTTGGGGGAAGACTTCAGCCATTATTCAAAGGGTGGCCCAGCCTCACCCCAGAGGTCATCGTGAGCTAGCATCAATAATAAAGGAAAATCCTTTGTACGAGATCCAGGACAGGAAGAAGGTGAGAACGTTGAGCATTGACCTCATGAAAGTTCAGGGCATAGTTTTGGAAACTGTGGACACATAGATTTAAACTAGCTCTTTAAACTAGAATTCATTGAACTTTGGATTTGGTAGGAGTTAGAAGGGAGCTTAGTCAGCATCTGGTCCAGTCACCTCATTTTTCAGAAGAGGAAAAATACCAGGCAGATTAGGTGACATGCCCCAAACCACTGGTATGGAGCTACAGGGCCTTCCAGTACGTGGACTGATGCCACATGAAATAAGGCGACTCCCGTCTCTCTATGATGCCTATGGAGTGAGAAATAGAGATAGCAAGCAAGATGCCTCTGTGAAGACAGTAAATACATCTTAGGAATTGGGAAGAAAACAGAAGGCAGCACTGGCCAGCAAGTAAGGGAGCCTGTTTCTCAGGAAGGGCCTACTCAGGTGACCCAAGTCTCTCTACTGCCCTAGAATGTAGGGGCCAACCTTAGGATGCTCTGGTCCCCAGCTCTGGGTCCAAGGCCCTAAGTGTAAGAAAGTCCAGATGTGCACAAGCAGAGTAGAAATACTTGCTAGAAACAATAAAGCCCTTGGAAGATTTCTAGACTAAAATATTTGAAAATCAGTGGAATGTGTCTGGTGAAACAGATACCCAACTACTCATCTTTCACCCACTCTCTGGAGTAATTTTAGTGATTAAAAGTCAAGAGAGTAGATGAGTCAGGTCTACCAACCCCAAAAACAATCTCCTTCTCTAGATCAACCCAGATGACCTGAAATTGGTGAATTATCACACAGAAATCAAATTAGCAACTTTACTAATAAGATAAGAGATGCAAATTAAAACAAGGAAAACCTATTTTTGTTCATCAGATTAGGAAAAGTTAAATAAAAACCCAGATGGGCAAAAATGTGAGAGACAAAGGCCGGCTTAAACATGAATTGACAGCCAGTGGGCCTGTAAATTACTATAGCTTTTTCGAAAAGTAGTTGGAAACATATATCAAAGGATTAAAACTGTTCATTTACCTTGTAATCATATCACAAAGAATACATCTTCAAAATATAATTAAAGATGTGCCTAAAAATTTATGTATAAGGATGTTCATCACTTCCTTATAAGGCTGTTTATAATAAGCAGTTCAGAAGGAACTTACATGCCTCTTAGTAGAAGATTAGTTAAATACACCATGGTGTATTGAGATGATAACATAATAAACAGCAGCTAAAAACCATATTCTTGAGATGCTTCCTATGTGCCAGGCTGGGAGTTGGGTTGGGGTGACCGCTGAGAACAAGAGAGAGGAGGGGCCTGCCCTCGCTGAGCTTGAAGCAAGCTAGAGAAGCTGGGCAAAAGCAGGCAGACAGACCACATCATTTCCAAGTGTGCTCAGTGTGCCTAAGGTAGAGCAATCTGGGAAGTCCCCTCATGGAGGTGGTGTGTGTGGGGGTGGTGTGTGTGTGTGTGTGTGTGGTGGGGTGGGAGGGTAGGGAAAGCAGTTCAGCACTGAGAATGGCATGTGCAAAGATCCTGGGGCAGGAAACAGTCATCACCAAAGTGTAGGATATATTTTCAGTTTATTCCAGTATTTATCCAGCAGATAAGCTTATTGAGTGTTTTCTATGAGAACCACACCATACAAGTCTCTCTGAGGGCTATAAAGATATGCACCACTTCCTGTCAGAACATGGCCAAATGCCAGATCAGCTGCGCAGATGGCTTATGGTGCAGGAGTGTAGACAAGAGTCAGCTTTGCCTTTCCTGTTCGCTAGCATCTCATTCACGGTGGGTGATCTTAGCTGGCTACACAGGTAGTGACAGCTCAGGTAATGCTCTCCATTGGCTGGGGCATTCTCATGCACCTTTCTAAGAATCTTTCTCAAATGTCTTAGCTCAATTCATTAGCTAAGTGGTAGCTCTACTCAGTTAAATATTTGAAGTCAGAGAAGTAATGTCTGTTTTGAGAGCCATCATCTATTTTAACTCCTCAATTTAACTTAGCAAACATTTACTGATCAAGTGCCCTGTGTTAGAAACTGAGCTAAATAAATACTCTAGTGGACTGAACCTATAATAAGAGTTTACCATTTATTTGAGACAGTTAGACAAGTTATGCAGTTTTCACAGAAAAGGGGTGGGTGTCCAAGTTGGCAAAAGAGGTGAAGACAGAGTGATTCTGGGTTTCAAAAGAGGGGAAAATCCTAATTGATTAAAAAGGCTTGGGAGGGTATCTCAAAGAAAGAGCTTTTTTCAATGCTATTTATAGGGTTGATAGGAATTTGACACACAGATTTGTATGGAAGGGCGTTCTGGGCAGAAGGAATAGCATGAGCAAAGGCAAGGAGGCAGGGAGCTAGGTGTGTTCAGGTCACACCAGGACTCCTGTGTGCTGGTGGAAACATACACAATTACACATTCAATGAAACCATTCAAGGTGTTTGAACCTTAGGATAATTAATTTGGGGCAGGTTGTAGAATGCCCTTGTGGGAGGACCTAGCAGCCAGGAGATGAATTAGCCGTCATCTTCGGCCTCTGGCCTGCTGAGTCCTAGGGACAGTAAAGCCAGAGTAGAAAGAGTTGCAGATTGAGAGTCAGGATCCCCGAGTGTTGGTCCCACTCTGACACTGAGTAGTCGGGTCTTTCTTGGACAAGCCACCCAACTTCTAAGCTCACTTTGCCTTCTAGGAGGTGGGACAGTAATCTCTACCTGAAAGGGTTGTAGCACATTCTAAATGCAGTACCTGATATGACAGCTCCTTATTAATCAATAAAATCATTAATGAATGTTGTTTTATTGTAACATTATAATTTATGCCTGCATCTATCTTAATTGGGTTTATTTTTTTACTTCTCTGTGTCTGAAATACAGGCTGTGAGTTCCACAGTTTAGATTTGCATTAGTATATGTTAGACTGTTGCCATTTATGCTTTAAAAAAACCTTTTATTTAAATGCCCTGTTTAGAGTTCCACCAAAAGAATAGTTGATATCTCATTTTTACTTATAACTTTCATCTCTCTATGATACAGGTCACCCCAGTCCACCCTCTGAAAAAGAGGAGCAGAGGAAAGTGGCCCATTTGACAGGTTTGTATCTGGAAAGCAGAATGGCTGGTCATTTTCATCAGTGTGTCCTGGGTGAGCTGTTACCTGCAGAGGCCCAGTCTTGGCCTGGGTGGACTTTCAGAAAGTGGTTGTGTGGTTGGGGGCTCGATCCCCAGTGGGGGGCATGCAGGAGGCAGCTGATGGATAACTCTCTCATTCTTGATGTTTCTCTCTCTCTCTCTCTCTCTCTCCCTTCCTGTCTCTGAAATCAATAAAGACATATTTTAAAAACAACAACCCCATAACTTTTGCTCAAGGGATGAAAGGCCCACGGTTTTGCCTTGGAAGCTTAGTTTGTTGGGTGCATGAACATTCCTGGCTAAAAGCTCCTTTCTGATTTGGTTTCAGGCAAGCCCAACTCAAGATCCATCCCTCTGGAATGGGAAGACACCTATGGAATTGCCCTGGTCGCCGGGGTGAAGTATAAGAAGGGCAGCCTTGTAATCAATGACACTGGGCTATACTTTGTGTATTCCAAAGTATACTTCAGAGGTCAGTCCTGCAAGAAACAGCCTCTGAACCACAAGGTCTATATGAGGAACTCTAAGTATCCCCAGGACCTGGTGCTGATGGAGGAGAAGATGATGGACTACTGCACTGTCGGCCAGATGTGGGCCCGCAGCAGCTACTTGGGTGCGGTGTTCAACCTCACCAGTGCTGACCACTTACATGTTAACGTGTCTGAACTCTCTCTGGTCAATTTTGAGGAATCTAAGACATTTTTTGGCTTATATAAGCTCTAAGAAAAGCACTTTGGGATTCTCTCTATGATGATTCCTTGTTACAAGTACTGAGAATGTTGTCTTGAAGGAGGGTCTTCTTAAGCCCACTTGAGGTCAAGTGAGAAGACATAAACCAAGAGGATCCTGAGACCACAGGGCCCAGCAGGTCTATGGTTCTTCATCTCACCCAAAGTCCATGAGCCAGACAGGAGGAGGAAGACAACTGATGAACATAACACTCTGGGCCACACGGCAAGATGCAGGACAAAGCAGCTGCCGGAGTGTTCCACACTCAGCTTCAGAGGCCAAGAGTGTTTGGGCACATTGCAAAGGACACCTTTTAACTCACCTCTTGGGGTGGGTTTACTGTCTACCTCAGGGGAGACTGTCTTTCAGGTATATGATGTGACATGAGTGTGTAAGAGGTGGAAAAAGAGGATTAGGCTCACATGATAAGCTCAAGAGACTGAAAGGCCAGTGTCCCAGGGGAAGCACCTTTACCTCCAGAGCCACAGCCTGAGCCTCCAGGTGATGTGAACAGAGAAGACAGGGAGGTCTTTGGGGGATGCAGTCCACTCCCTATACAGCATGTACATTTCCAGAGCAATTATAGGGGTGTGTGTGTGTGTGTGCGCGTGAGTGTATGTGTGAGTGACTAGAAGAACTACCTAAGTAGAGAGAATGTGGATATTGTGAAGAACATGTTAGGAAAATATGGGGTGCATTTGGTGTAGATTTCAAATGCTTCTTCGCAACCAACTCTAACAGTCCTCTAATCTTAGATCGCCAGCGAGTGATGCTGTTTTCCTATAATATAACCAATATTTATATATATTTTGTGCATTTTTAATGAAAAGAAACATATAATAAAAACTATATTTTAGAATACAGATGTACATTATGGATGTACTTTTTGGAAGTCACAAAGATTGTTTTTTTCCTTAGTATATCTTTCTTCCATGGCTTCAGCGTTCATTATGACTTAAGGCCACTTTAAGGAGAATTTACTGGGATGAGAAGGACTTCGCCAGGCTCTAGTCCCCTCTCTGTATTCTCTTACCTCTCTGTCTCCCAATATCCAAAGTTTCCATTGCCAATATTATTGCCTGTGTTAAGCTCACCCAACTTTCCATAGATTTAAAAAAAATCCTTACCCAAGGATGTTTTTCCACTGACTTTTAGAGAGAGCGGAAGGGAGGGGGGAAGGGGAGAGAGAGAGGAGAGAGAGAGAGAAACATTGATGTGAGTCATTTCGATTGGTTGCCTACCACACGCATCCCAACCAGGGCTGAGATTGAACCTGCAACCCAGGTACATGCCCTTGACTGGTAATCAAACCCACAACCCTTCAGTGCATGGGCTGAGGCTCTAACCACTGAGCCCTGCCGGCCAGGGCAACTTTCTATACATTTGATGACAATTTGTCTTTTCCTGGGGGTAGAGTCATAGCATAGTGGAAAGGGCACAGACTTTGGATTAAAAAAAAACAACCCTGAATTTGAATCTTGGTTCCTCCACTTATTAACCATGCAGTTACCATGCAGGTCACTTGACCTCTTAGACAGAAAAGGGCTAATATATACACAAAGTATCTGACACATAGTACAAAGTCCATAAAAGGTATGTACCATTATTTATAAGCTACTCTATGAGAGGTACTTTGTTTTCCAGAAGAAGTCACAGCTCTGAGGGGTCCATCTGAACACCTGGTTTCTTGCATTCCCACCTTGATCACTCACAATGTCCTTTTCCTCTTGTCTTCAGCCACTACCATGGCCTTCCCCTAGATCTGTCATTGTTAAACATTACCATGCCTCCTTTGGGATTTTATTTCAGACATCTTATTTTTACCTTATTTTCATCTCCTGTTATTCCAGCTTAATTGCTCCAACATTTTATCGAGACCTCTAATCAATGAACTCTATTATTTTCTTACATATCCATTAGCTCCCTCATCTTCACTCCTCTCTGTCTGGCTTAGACCCCACCCTCTGACATTACCTCACTGTGCTGGAAAGGCCCTCAGCCCCCAGTACTCTGCTTCCTTCACTGTATTCCTCTTTCAAAAGTTTCATTTTTTTCTACGCGGACATCCTAGCAGCTGGATATTGCAGTAGAAAAGCTACACAGATTGTCTGGCTTCATTTTATTTTTAATCATTTACTGAAGTCAGCCAATCCACTATGTATCCATCACTCATTTTTTTCTGTCTTTTGATGGATTTGAATAGGCAACGAATGCACATTGTACAAAATTGAAGAGATACACAAAGATATAGGAGAAAAGAAGTCCTCTTCCAACCCTGTCCTGTGGCCCCATTTCTGCCCACAAAGAGGTCACTGTCTCCTTGTGTAGCTTTCCAGGGAGGGTCTGTACATGGCTCTCCCATCACTTTACATTCTGAGATGGATAATTCTTTGTCGTGAGGCTGTCCTGCCTGTACATTGTAGGATTCTGAGCAGCATCCCTACCCTCTACCCACCAGATGCCCATAGCATTCTACCCTCTCCTGTGTGGATAACCAAAAATATCTCCAGACATTGTCCAATGTCCCTGGGCTGGGGTGAGGAGACAAAAATCCCCCCTGGCTAAGAACCATTACTCTGCATCAGTGGTCACAGATCGCAAATGGGCATTCAACACAGCCCAGCACTCTTTCTTCAGTTCCGAGGTAAACATGCTTTTCTATTGTTTGAGATAATTATATCCTATCTTTCCCTCCTACAAACCAACCACATCTCCACCTTGCATCATGGAACCTCACTCCCACCACAGAAGCCAATCTCCCTGCCTCTGAATGGCTCCCTTTTCCTTCTGATACAGTGGGAGAAGAGGATAGTCTCTGCATTTGTGCACTAGACCTATCCCTCCCCTCTACTTGGCCTATTTAAAATCTTTCTTCTCTCTTCTGGGTCCTCAAACTATCCCTGTCTATGAAATCACTTCCAGCAGCATATACATATGTTCAAGTATGCCCTTTCACCAAAAGACAAACCAAACCAAACACACAAAACCAAACCTTTCTTTACCATCCTTCTTCCTCCAGGAATGGGTGCATTTCTTGTTTTTCTGGTAGAGACAAACATCTCAGGTTGTCTCTGCACACATAAGCTGCATTTCTGTAGCCAGGTTTATGGCTATATTATTTATTTGACCACTTAAAAAGTATCTGTGCTTTTTTTCTGCTAGGATAAGAGTTCCAAATGCAAGACCTTTTCTGGCCTTGTTTACCCCTGTATGCACATCACCTGACCCAATGCCTGGCACATGGTAGGTGCTCAATAAATGTTTGATGATGGAATAACCTTAATTATAAAGCAAGTGTCAGTTTTGGCTACATCGGTATGTTTTGAGAGTAATGAATCTGTAGTAGTATTGCCTCATAACTGTGTATGAGTGTTAATCCAGTTTCGAATAGATTTTCCAATGGGAGACAGGCTACAGATGGAAAAAAATCATGCACCCTAACCCATAGCATTGGCAATAAGATAGGTTTACTTGGTCCATGGCATTACCAGGAGTCGGTCAGGGGACTGGTGATGAGAACTGCCAGGTAACTAGAGCTGAAACTGTCATTTAGAAGATGCTCAGTAAATACTTGTTGAATAAATTAATGAACAAAACCAAAGGTTCAGGTTGGGGTATGTCATCTGTTCTCCTTAGGACTGTTGATTCATCTGCTTTATGAGGTCAGGTTCATGGCCAGATACCTCACGGGGAAAGCCAGAAGGGCATTCACCCTTCTTGGGCCGCTAGTCTATATTCCCAGCCCTCACAACGAAATCCTCTCTATCCTTTGTCTTCTCTTTTGGCTCCAACCACCAAGAAGTTTGGTGGACCATTGTTTGGGGTCTATGGACCTTTATAGATGATGGTACCATAGCAAAGAGGAAGTGGTACTGTACCCTGAGGCGACCTGATGTGATGGCCATCAGCTAGCAGTCCTGGTGCCCGTTCGCATCCTCTGTGTCCGAGCGCTCCTCACCTGCCTTGGACATTCTCTGAAGACAGGTGTGTGGCTCAGCTTGCTTTAAGTTCTGATTCTATGGGAGAGACGTTAGCAGTTTCTTTAGGGTCCTGCGTTCATTTTCTTTACCTCAGTCGAAATATACAAGATGTCAAAAACCCAGAACTTTGGGAAGTGCTCATTAAAAATGAAATCGGTCATTGTTCCTTTATGAAATGCTAATCTCAAAGTAGAACACTTTTTTTTTTTAAAAAAAAGGTTACTTCTGGTTCAGTAATTTGAGGGGTTTTTTCTTCTCAGACAACTAAAAACACACAAAATCTTTTTTTTAAAGCCCCCCAGAGTGGTGACTGTATTCTCTGAAGTAGGTTTTGACTGACCACAGCTTAACAGGAAAAGAGCTCTTCTGGGGATGTCATTGCAACAACAGCTTCTTGAAAGAGGGGGATTGGAGAGAGTAGCCTGGCTCCTCAAAGCCAGACTATTGTCTAACTACTATGCTGTACACCTGAAACTAATATAAAATAATATTGAATGTCAACTGTAATTGAAAAATAAAACTTAAAAAAATGTTTACTTCTAAAAAAAAATACTTACTTAGGGGGTTAAGTCTTGTCCTTAATGAAGAGCGTGTGTCACCACATGTTAAACTGCATTTTTCAAAGGAGTTTGGCTAAGTTCTGAAGTTACAGAGATCAATTTTTACTTTCTGTTTCTGTGTGTGTGTTTTCTCTTTCCCAGGGTTTTGGATCATGCAGAGGCTGAATGATGCGCTCCTAGGAAAGCAGAAATAAAAACCCCATTCCTGAGGTCTCCAGATTCAGAAATGAAACTGATTCAGAAATAACGTAATTATTGATGGTAGCTAGGGACTTTTGGGATTCATATAGAAACCAACCAGGCTTGGAAATATGGACCGCTAAGTGGGTATTCTCTCCTTAAAGTTCACTTAGAAGGTAAGCAAGCATCACCTCAGTGGTGTCAAAGCTTCCCCTTTACCAGGAGGCGCTTACCCATCATTCTAGCTGGTACACTTTTCAGAGAAAAGTGGAATTCAGATGTCCCTCCTCTCCCACT